TTAATATTATTATCAAGATGAATTTGAATTAAAATTAGCTTTACCTGACAACAATTAAATAATTTTGCGATGCTTATAGTGCAGTTTTTATTTAAACAAGGTACATAATTGATTCCACCTCCAGAATCAAATAGTCCCTTGTCACAACAAAGTTAGAACACCTGGAATGTTACCAGTAATTCCCCTAGACACGGTCAGTAATTCTTTAAGCCCTCCTAGGGAGTTTTCTGAGTGGCAACTAAGAGTTATCCTTTCTTTGTAAATAATCAGCTTTTATTATCAACAAAGTTAGGACGCCTGAGCCCGAATGCTTGGAGTGGTTACCAGCATCCAAAAAACAGTAGTTCTCCTAGTCACGGTCAGTACTTTCCTAAACAGTCAACTTAGTGATTCTTCCTGAGTGGTGTCTAGAGGTTGTTCTTTCTTTGCAAAATAAAAACTCTTTTTTCTCGATCTTAACAGACAGGACTGTAAATGCAACATAAGGAATAATGGTATTAAATAATCATGTAATATAAGCAAAAAGAACTCATCATCATATAAATAAAGTATGTAGTTACTGAAAACCGATTTGGGAAGTATAGGATTCGTTTTTTTTTTTCTACTTTCACTATGCTTCGTTAAGTTTCACTTTCGTCTTTTTTAATTTGAGTTTCATCTTTCATCGGTTTTAGGTTACATCTTTCGTCATCATGCAAAGAAGGTCTTTATACATATCATCAAAAATTTTCTACTAGTTTGGCAAATGAAATTATAGTACTTGTGACTTAGTATGATCGTAAAGATGAATTTAATTAAGCTAACTTTACCTAACAATAAATAAAGAATTTTTCATGTTGGGGAAGGGATAAAAAACAAAATATTTAGTCTTGACAGAAATACGAATATAGGATTAAATTAGAAAAAAACAATTGTTTTGTTTATATATAATCGTATTCATGCCAATCTTTGTCAAAACAAAAGCTTTGTACCCGCGTAACTTTCTATGTGTAGATCAGTCAACAAAAATACGTTTTTGATACATACATCAAAACATAATTTTGAAAATTCATGTCTGTTCACACGCGTGTTCAATTAGTAATTTTAGTGTAGCAAAAATATACACATTCACGTGTTTGTGCAATAGGATGACCATCATATGATCCGTTGATGGGTACCCTAGCCACGGCAAAAAAAGTTCGGGTCATGTAGTAACTGATAAAAATATTTAAATTTATTTAGATTAGGGTTAGGGTTCAGATCAGGGTTAGGGCTAGAGAGTGCTATAGGTAAAAATACCTCCATGAAATTTTTTGTTAGTTCGTAAAAGGTTGTTTCTTATGAAGTTTGTCGTGAAATAAGCGATTTTTTCTAATTTTCTTTAAAGCGAACGTTTGTTTTGAATTTTCCTGATTGTGTTACATTATACCAAATTTGAAATCGTTATTGGCAACAGCAGAGACAATCAAATTGATTGGCTACCCTGAGTTATCAATTCTGAATAATTGCAGATCAATTTTAGACTACTATTTATATTAGCAAGTAACGTCTTATCACGTGTTTCTATTACGCATTTCATAGTACTCATACTTATAGTACTTCTAGTACTTATAGTACTCCTATACTTATAGTACTCAGTACTTATAGTACTTATAGTACTTATAGTACTCATATACTTATAGTACTCATAGTGCTTATAGTACTCATCAGATAATACTTATCAAGTCGCTAACAGTCAGGTAAGATGTCACATGTTCATATATGAGAGTGTCTGATCATAGTAAAAATGTAGATCACATTTCGGGAATTTACTATTAAATTTTTAGAAAATTTTTATTTGCTCTTAAGTAAACTACATGACCTTCAAGAGATACAAAAATAATTTTCTAATAACATTATTTATAGGGTTTTCTTTTATCAATAACAAAAATTTGAAACAAAACTCATATATAAATAGGAAAGGATCTTGGGCTCAAAGATTGATAACTATTCAGAATTCTAACTATAACAAAAATATATATAAGATCCCAAAACATAGTAACTGGCCGGGTTTCATACAGAAGTTTTGGGATTAAACTGCTGCTCTGTTATAGTAACACTTCTTCAAACTACTTTTGTCGAGATTTTGCTTAATACAATAGATAAACTCTTCAAGATCTTACAAGTAATGGAGCTTAAGTATGGCTAAAACTGGTCTAATATCAGATATCATCTTATTTTTTTTTTTTCTTATCAGTTATACTATGTTCTTTTTCTCAGTTGAAACTAACATTTTTTGTAGTCTTTGCTAGCAATAAAATAGAATCGGAAGGATAATTAAATGCAGCTAGTAACCGGAACTGAACCAAAAATAAGTATCTTTTTTTTTTCTTTTTTTTTGTTAGTCTGCTTCATCGTGAAGTTAGCACTGAATGAACATGGCTGGGAACTTAAAACTGGCTTAATAATAAGTACCAGTTCTCTTTTTTCTTGGATTATATTGTTTTCTTTCTTTGAGATAGAAACTAACTTTTCTTTTTTCGTATATTGGCTTGTCATAAGGTTAGCACCAGACAATGAATAAAATTGGATACGGCTGAGAATTGAAACTGGTCTATCTGCTATTATAAGTACTAGTTTTTTTTTTCCTCTTGCATAATATTTTTTCTTCTTTGGTCGAAGCTAACTTCCTCTTTTCCTATAAGTTGGGCTTCACTACAAAATTAGCACCGAGCAATGAAATTAAATACAGCTGGGAACTCAGAACTAGTCTAATTATAAATCAGTTTTTTATTCTTTTGTATTATATTGTTTTTTTTCTTTTAGTTAAGCCTATTTTTTTTTGTTTTATTGTGAAGTAGATTGTTGTCGATGAAAATTGGACAATTCTTTTTTTTTTTAATTATTAAAGATTTAGGTTTCAAAATAGTTTAAGTTTTAAACTTTTTTGAATTGAGACTCATTTCAGATTAGTATTTTCAAAACTAGTTTTGGGAAGGTTTCATTTTGGATCATGAGTATTAGTAATATGATCAAGAAAATAACGAAGAACAAGAATTAGCAAGCCTGATACACAATATTTAGGAAGGCAAACCACTAGGCATATTTAACATTGTTCAGTGAGAATATTTTAAATAAAAATATGTAAGTATGAAAATAGTGTATTAAATATTATTCTGATGTTATTTTATTTATTATGTTCACATTTATAAATAAAAATTTATCATTTATTAAAACTTAAATATCATACTATATATAAATAAAAAACAAATAAAAAAATTAACAGATAATCAATTATAATGAATTTTTTATTTTTTATTTTTTTTTATTTTTTATTTTTTTGATTCTATTCGATCTATAATACAGTTATAAATTCTAGTTGTAATTTTGATTCATACAATATATTAAAGTTCTGATGTTGTAAATATGTAATAATCTAAGACATATGAAATCTAAATAGAATTATATACATAAAATTCATGCTTTAAGAAAAACAATCATTGCAGAGAGCAATCAAATTTGATAATCAGTAAACATAACCTGTTTTTTCATCTCATTCTTGTTAACAATTTAAATTATCTATTTCAAAATCGAGGTTGTAACTCTTCGAGATAGTCTTTTACCTATTAAATGCTTGAAACACTTCATTTAAAACGTCTTATTTAAAACACTTTTCCAAAACACATTTAAAATGAATTTTCTAAAGTATATCTAAAGTGAATTATATAAATTAATTAGAATTAATTGCCTATAAATAACATGAATTTTCTTCATCAGACATTACCAACAAATTACAAATTATATGTGCAAAGCAATACTTATCATTAAAAATTTTTTTATAAAACCTTGTTCTGTTATTGACAATGGAGGATTACTATGATTATTTTACGGATGAAGATTTAGAAGAAAGTTTTAGCACCAACCAAAAAGAACCATTGTTCGTTCATGATTATCTGGCTGCTATGAAGACAAGATGTTGGTTAGAAGAGCAAGTTCCTTTAGAAATACAAGAAGATGATAATGATGATAGGAATGATGATTTATTATCTGAAGATGAAGATGGGCTTATAGATCACAAATTTTCAGATGTGGAAAAAAATAAACAATCGCCTTGCATTGTTATTGATAATTTTAAAGGAGAAATTAGATGCTGTAATTCAACATATCAGCTGAAAGTCAATATCTCAATTAGTGGGAACTTGGGAAGTAGAAATGACACGGGAAGAAAATTCTAATATAAATACCTTAGGTGTTTGTTCTAGTCATTTTAATTTCAATTAAAATAAACTTCACTTGCCTCATGCCAAAAATACTAGAGACCCCAGTCTGAGTGTAATTAAATCAAAAAAATGCTTGCTCTGCAATAAATATAAAAATTTTTTTAGTAGAGATAATAATTGCAGAGAACATAATTGGAATATTTGTAAAAGGAATATTCAAGTACTATGTGTCAGCTTAAAATCGTGTCCTGCTTTTCAAGAAATTTCAAATATCGTTTCAAGAATTACTAATGGCCATCATGTTCGATATATCTGTACAAAATATTTTGAGAACAATAGTGAACATGTTCATAAGTGTGAAGGAAAAAAAAAACAAAACATGTGTTAATAATCAATTGCATAAAAACGATACTAGTCGAGTTTTAAAATTATTCTCACAATGGTTATCAAACCTTTCATATTCTGAAAATGAGAATCAAAAAAAAAGAAGTATTATAGCATATGATGAAATTATTAGAAAATCCCAAATCAAATACGCCATTCTCTAAAGATACAATGGATTGTTTACCTAGTCAGCTATTTGTAAAAATTGTTATGAGAATTAAAGCATCTAAAAATTATCTACCTACAGATAAAATGTATATAAAAGCAGATAAATATAGACAACATGGAGAAGCATTAAGAAACTTCATATGCAACTCACTTAAAGATATTTAACAACATCGTAATAGTTTGGAAAATCCAAATTCGTTAGATGAATACTATAATAGCTTTCCTTTAGCGCTTACTAGTTTTTTTGATGGATTAGTTGAGTCTATTGAAAAACATAAACATGCAGTTAGAGAAAGAAAACAAAGGCAACGTGGAAAAAATGCATCAGAGTTTAATAAAGATGCTATTAAAAAAACTACAACCTTTTTTTCATCAATTATTTTAATAATTGCTTTTCGTTCATAGAAAATTTGGCTTACTTATACAATGTCTTCATTATATAAAAAGCCAAAATTAATATCTTCTTTACAAGCAATACTTTATATAGTATATATAATATCTCACACATGGAGACACAAGTTAATATTAGTAATTATAATCCATTAACAAGAATAATAAAAGGGCTAATCTTATTAAGAGTATTAGGGTAAAGCGTGTTACAGAAATAGAGCCAGAGGATTTAAATGGGTATTTCCCATAGTTGGGTGCAGATATGGC